TGCTCACACCCATTTCCTTCAGCTGCTCGGCACAAGGCGGCCACGCTCCTGCTCGATCAACTGGGACTCCATTGTGCTACCATCAGTTGAGAATGCTGGGCTAGACAACCCATTCACGGAAACTGAAGTTTGGGAGGCGATCAAAGCATCCCCCTCTGAGAAGGCACCTGGACCTAACGGATTCTCTGGCGCCTTCTACAGATCATGCTGGAGCCTCATTAAGCACGACATCATGGCTGTTTTCCATCATTTCTACAACTTAGCTAGGGGTGATTTTGCGGCCCTAAACTCTGCCATGATTGTGCTGCTGCCGAAGAAGGACGGGGCAACTAGTATGGCTGACTACAGGCCCATCAGTCTTATTCACTCCATCGCCAAACTAATCGCCAAGGTTTTATCCATGAGGCTAGCCCCGATCATCAGCACACTGATTTCGCCTGCCCAAACTGCCTTCCAGCGTTCTAAGTGCATACATGACAGTTTCCTATATGTTCAAAACGCCGTCAGAGCTCTTCATCGCCGCAAGATACCTACCCTGCTTCTGAAATTAGATATAGCCAAGGCATTTGACAGCATTTCTTGGGAATACATCTTTGAACTCCTTCAGAAAATGGGCTTCCTTGCTAGATGGCGAGACTGGATCGCGCTTCTACTCTCTACATCCTCGTCGTCTTACCTATTGAATGGGTCTCCAGGCGCCTCCATCATGCATCATCGTGGGCCGCGGCAGGGGGATCCGCTCTCGCCGCTGCTCTTCATTCTCTGCATCGAACCCCTTCACCGTCTACTAGAGGCGGCAACCTTGGCGGGCCAGCTATCTCCTCTGCCTAGTACGGCTGTGCGTATGCGTACAAGCTTATATGCCGACGATGCCGTGATCTTCATCAACCCCAGAAGGACGGAGGTAGATGCTCTACTCAGCATCCTGCATCTTTTCGGCGAGGCCACGGGCCTGCACGTCAACCTGGCCAAATCCTCGGCAGTGCCGATTAGCTGCGGCGCCCTCGACCTTGGTTCCACCTTGCAAAACTTTGGCGGCATCATGGCGTCACTACCAATCACGTACATGGGCCTCCCAATCACTACCAATAGGATTCGTCTAGTCCACCTGTAGTTCATCCTAGATAGGATTCGTGCCCGCCTCGCTGGTTGGAAGGGCAGACTATTGCATATCGCCGGCCGTAGGATGCTCGTCCGCTGTGTCCTCTCCGCCATGCCGACGTTCGCCCTCACGGTACTGAGAGCGCCAAAGAAGTTTTTCAAGGAGGTAGCTAAAGCTAGACGACGTTTTCTCTGGGCACAAGACGAAGAAGCAACCAGAGGAAAGTGTAAGGTAGCATGGAGCGTGGTCACCACGCCAGAATACCACGGGGGCCTCGGCATACATGACTTGGACAAATTCGCGCGCGCCCTCCGTCTGCGCTGGCTCTGGCTCTCCTGGACCCATCCAGAGCGGCCATGGGTCGGCACGGGCACGCCATGCAACCTGCCAGACCAGGCTCTCTTTGCTGCCAACACGGTGGTCACCATCGGGGACGGCAGGACGGCGTCCTTCTGGTGAAGCCCATGGCTTGACAGCAGGCCACTCCGACTGGACTACCCCACCTTCTTCGCCCGCTCCATCCGCAAGAACAGGTCCGTCCGGGACGCGTTGCTCGATGGGCGATGCTTCCTTGATCTCCGCCACGGGGAAACCAGCGGCATTGCACCCTCTGTACTCCAGCTAGCAAGGGCAATTCGGAGAGCAGGCAACATCATAAACGACGACCTCAGCGACACAATCCGCTGGACTGCTACGACCTCCGGGAGCTACTCCGCTCGCTCCGCCTACGCGGCTCAGTTCCAGGCGCCAATGGCACCCTTCCCCTCCAAAAACGTCTGGCATATCTGGGCACCTGGGAAGCTCAAGATGTTCCTGTGGATGCTCCACCTCGACAAGCTATGGTGCAACGATCGCCTGCAGCGGCACGGCTGGGAGAACAGTTACTTCTGCCAACTCTGTCTGCGAAGCTTGGAGTCCTCCTCCCACCTTTTGTGGGAATGCCCGATTGCTATCCAGGCCTGGACAACGGCGGCGTCATGGCGGGGCTGTCACTCCCTGGCACAAGATACCTGGAGCTCCGAAACAACGACGACGGAAAGAGTGAGACTGATCACGGACGCGGCAAGCCCAGCAGACAGGAAGGGCACCAGATCAATTCTTGCGCTCATTGCCTGGCACATATGGCTTGAGCGTAATGCATGCACCTTCCACGGCAAGATGCCGTGCTCTAGCACCATTATCGAAGCGTGCCGTCGCGACATAGAGAAATGGAGGATCGCCGGAGCAGCCTGCATAGAGCACCCCTTCTGGGATGTGCCATGAGAGATATCCCGATACTATCAGTGCCAGCATAGCTGCTGGGCTGGCCACTTGTACCTTTTCTTTTTCACCCCATCAATCACTTGATCAAGCGTGTTTCCCGCCTTCTCTCTGCTAATGAAATCAATGCCAGCCAGGGCTGGATCTTTCAAAAAAAGCATCAGCCGGCAAATTGTGGCCCCTTGCTCTCCACGATTTGGATCTTCGTGTGGCCGGTTGTTTATCCAGAAGAGGGTGTGGATAGAAAATTGCCTTTAATTAGTGAAGGGCTGGCCAATTTTATCATTTTCTACCGTTTCTGCTCCGGTGCTCCCCCCTGGGCTGAACGCGGGGTGGGAAAACACATCGACAGCCAGGATGAACCAAAAACGCTTCATAACGAGGGGCACGATCGTCTTTGTTGCCCCCGCGTATAGCCGTCGAGGAGCCCTGGGAGGCCCGTACGGGCCCGGTTAGATCGTATGACCGGCCGTATACGTATGCCCGTCCGTATACGGCGGACTTTCGTGCACGCGTGAAGCCGCCCGTGCGCCCCCCGAAAAAAAAAGAAGCCGCCCGCACGTGGGGCAACACGTGTCACGGGTAGTTGCCAAAACTGTCCCATCATATAAATGTAGACGGCAACCACCTCCGGCCACATCGCCCACCATTCCCCCCCGTCGCATCGTCTCCCTCTCTCCACTCTCCACTCCCCACTCCCTCTCCTCTCCAACCTCCTCGTCTCCCTCACCGCATCCTCTCCATCGCAATGGCGGACGCAGGAGGCGAGCGCCCCGAAGGCGCAGATCTGGTGGAGCAGGCGCGGCAGATCGCTGCGGGCACCTTTGCGAGGGGGCGTGCCGGCGTCCAGCGCGGTGCTCCCTCTGCTGGAGATCTGGAGAAGGCGGGGGCGGGCCGCAGCGGCACGGTCCAGCCAGATGCGCCCGCTCTGGCCAACTCCGGCGAGGCGCAGAAGGTGGAGGCGGGCTCTGGCGAGGCGCAGAAGGTGGGGGCGGGCTCTGGCAAGGCGCACGAGGTGGAGAAGGTGGAGAAGGTGGAGGCCGGCTCCGGCGAGGAGGAAGCGGAGCAGAAGGTATGTGCGGCTAACTTTTAGTTGGTAGTTTTTAGATTGTAGGGTTTGTGGCTAGAACTTTGGTTGGTTAGATTTGTTGGAGGTAGGGTTTTCTCTGCATTAGGGTTTTCGTGTATTTTATTCGTGCAAGAATTGTGGACCACATATGATTATTTGATTAGGTTAGAAGTAGCTAGATTGAGGGATGGGGTTTTTTCAAATGCTTATTAGATTAGTAGTAGAATTTTTGCAATTCTTTAGGTGTTTGGAGTCAAATATATACTTCTGTATTGGTTAGGGTTGGTGCCTGCTTTAGTTCTTTGGCTTGATGATTAATTAAATGGATGCTTAATTCTAGGGATTATGGGTGTCATAGTTGCAATTCTTAGATGCTTGATTGATGCATGTTGTCATAGTTGCAGTTATTTGTTGCTTGATTGATGCCTGTCAGGCAGAGGCTATGAGATGGGTTGTGCATGGCCTTGTGTTTTTGGAAATTGTCTACGTGAGGTGATTACATGGTGCATTAGTTTGGTTGTAAATATAGTGAAGGATGTGCTCATGTACTGGGTGTTGTCGTGTTAATCAAAAAGAGCTTCTCAAGGGCTGGATTTTGTTGTGCTGGATTGGGGCTTCTGAAGGAGAGGGGAAGCATGGTCGAGGGGAAGGGGCAGTCTGCTTATTTACTTTGGGTTAGTAGAGGAATTTTGTTGTTGCTTCAAAGATGTTGACAGCATTGAACATCGTCTGCAATGCCGTTGCTTCAGAGATAAAACCATCTTGGGGTTTTTTCAGATGCTTATTAGATTAGTAGTTGAATTTTTGCTTGTTAGAATTTAATTAGTATGAGGATGAGTACCTTATTTAAGGGGGGATTTAAGGTCAGATAGATGTCATATGATTATTAGATATGTAGTTCAATGCTGCTGACATTTATGATTATTTGATTTGATCTGTGGTTCAATCATACTGGATGGAAACATATTTGATTTGGAATGCATTAATTAAGATGTGCCAATGAATTGATTTAGATGATACAAGATTCATCTATAGTATAATTTGTTGTTGTTTAGGTAAGTAATGAAATTTTAGATGTTTGTTGGAGATGTATGCATTTATAGTTGGAGTTGTACCTAATTAACTACTGCATTATGTTAATATGTGTAGGAGCTTTGCTGCATTGTCCCCAAAATAGTAATTTGTGCATATTAAATTTTGTAGTTGGCTTCTGTAATTAGTATATACTATATGTAAAGTGTGAAGTAAACATTCCAACGCAGGATCCTAGCAACAAAATATACTATATGTTTCCATTAAGTAGTGTGTGTGTGGGGGGGGGTAATTCCCTCAAAAGTAAAGTGTTGGGTTTATCCAGGGAATGTCAAGAATCCAGCTTGCATTTTCATTAGCATTTATGAAGGACATCATTTGTCTGTTGATTGATTGCTTAGATTCTGTATTTATAAGGAAAGCATTTGGTCACTTGCAACATACCAATGTGGTTCACATTCACAATTTTGTTTGTAATGACATTTTGTGAACTGCAATTCAATTCATTGTAAATGATGTGCTTGTTTGACAATATAGCAGGAGGAGGAGGATCTTGTGGGCAACAAGAGGAAGTGGGACAAGACTGGGTTCTACCCATATGAGTCTGATGATGATGAGCCGTACGAGGTAAGGCCTAGTTCAAATGTTATTTCTGCATTGAGTTAGTATTATGTGTTTATAGTTTTTGAATGCATAATGTATTAATGTCAGTCATTAATTTGTGCAGTATGAATCTGGAGATGATGTGGTCGAGGGGAACTTCGAGTCCTTTGAAGAGAAGGAGTTGTTGAAGATCAGGGCCCAAGGACCTGCCAAGTACTACAACTGGAGGAATGAAAAGTACCAGTGCCCCTACTGCAGCAAGCCCAAGCCCAAGTCTGGGTTATTGGAGCATCTGATGGAACATTGCCGGGCTACATCGATCTCCAGTCATGACTACAGGATCATTGGTCAGCATAAGGCGCTCCTGAAGGTCCTGAGAAACCCTGACCTGTAGTCGTACATCATGCTGATCATCGGAAGCTGGAAGCCGTACTCATCATCAGTATATTTGATGATGTTTTACTTTTGGGAAAGCTGCATCTGGGTCTGAACTGTGAGAAAACTTGATATATTAATGTAATGTAATGCATTGTGTGGTTGAACTGGATCTGTTGTGAACTGCCTGCTACCTATTAGAATGCAATCTATATATGTGTGGCCTTATCTTTAATGGTGGTGAATGCTTCCTTCATGTTTAGTTGTTGTTTCGATGGTGCGAAAAAAAAACAAATGGCGCTTCAGTGTTGCTTGAGACATGCTGCAACACTTGTCTATGTTGTGGGCAAGTGCAACATGCTGTGCCCATGTGCCAATTATACCAAATATTGAATGTCGCAATGTTCCAAAATGGCTGCCATGAATTATAGTACATGGGGTTTAGTAAAGTTACTGATAATTGTTCATCCTCACACATTCCACCAACTCCAAATCACACAAACTTTCTTGAACATGGTGAAAATGTGATTTTTCCCACCACCTCCAAATCACACAAACTTTCTTGAACATGGTTACCCACATGTGCCAATCATGGCTATGAAAGAAAATTTGGAAAAAGAATTATTTACAATGCCCCCCTGAGGTATAGACCGATGTTTTGACCGGTCAGTCTAGAGGGCATTATGAATTAATAAAAAATTCAAAAAAATATAAAACCTTTGGAACCCACCTTTGTTTGTGCAATAGATCATGTGTGTCAAAGTTGAGGTCATTTGGAGGTGGTCGAAAAAACGACCGCATTCCGGAGGGGCCATTTGGTCACTTAAGCCAGTTTTTGAAAAAATGTGATTTTTCCCACCACCTCCA